TTTTTTAATATAGATTTTTAAATAAAAATAATTTCAAAGAAATAGTGACTTTGTCAATTTCTCCATGAAATATTGATTTTTTGTGATAACATGCTATAGTAAACTACCCCAAACATGTACCCAACACCCCCAAATCAAATGTCAAATTTGACCTTGACCCTTATTTTCAAGGTCATTCGGCTATTTCATGGAGAAATATTGAAGTGGGCTAAAAGTGATGTTTTGTTGACCCCCCCCCCCCAATTCGCACATGCCCTTTCAGAAAATGGGGTCAAATTTAACCCATGACATTCACATGACCTTTTAAGAGCATTTCCACACCTATTTTGCAGGGGAATCCTCCGCCACTGGCTTCAGCCAGTTGCAGTCTAGTTATCATTTGCTTTGGACAATGAGCCTGTCAACATGAATTCATGGTTCAGTTTTCCACCTAGTTTTAATGCGTGTATAGATAATAAGGTTAACCAGGCCCGTATAGCCAGCAATTTTAAAAGAGGGTTCCTTTTCTGAAAAAAGTGGACCATTTACCAAAAAACCTTTGTGCACCTAGATCAATTTTGACCCAGAGCAGACCTTTTCCTGATAAAAAGGGCGGTTCGTTCAAATCATTCAAAACTCCTTGGCTATGGACCTGTGACCTGGCAGTTCATTTTTAACATTATTTACTTTGTTAATGAACCCTTTTTTATTAAATATTATATAAGTTGCCATTTAGATATAAAAATTAAGACCACGGTTCCATAACAGGCCTGGGAATGGTCTCTTATACTAGTGCACAAGCTCGATGGTCGTGTTGCAGCAATTGCATTTTGCTTGTATTGTTCATATCCATGTTATTATTACTGTCGAGTAAAATAAAGTAAAGATGTTTTGGGTGATCAAAAACGTAAGGGAAAAAATAAGCTTTATTTGTTTTTCAACATTATTCAAGGTTGCCTACTAAATGTGACGATGGTATTGACTTATATCTTTTGCAGATATGCGAGGTAGCAAATACGACTCAGTTATATAATCTTTCTTACTATTTATTAACTACTTCCCTGTTGTTACTCGCGCCGCTTCCAAGATTTCTATTTCTACCTCTTACAATCTTTAGCGGCCTTCTCTACGTTTACTTTACATTATAAATACAATAAGATCATTTCAATCAACTCAAGTTACTCTACAAAACACTTCCCGCTCCTGTCAATTAATAACATTAAATAAATTGCATCAGTTATTCTAATAGATCGAGGGACTTGTAAATAAAAGCGGCTATCAGCGGCTGAGTTTTGTTGATGAAACTTGTGTTTGTCTTTAATTTTTGCTTTTTGTGTGCATTAGGAGCGTAAAGCCTTTAAAGGACACAAACGTCATCAAAGGGATTTAATCTCGGCTCCGATGTTTAATTGCTAGGCCCTGCAGCGACGGTGCGTGTATATAGAAGCGGGGAGACCATCGATAATTTGCGGCATATCTTTTGAAGTGTGGTCGGCCATATTTAGTCGGCGGATCAGTTAGTACTGGGATCATCTATTCTGAATGGAGCCTTAATCTGTGTTTGTTATTCAACTTCTATTAAAGTGTCTACACTTATATTTTGTTACTTACATCATAAGATACAGTGGCGGATTTAGAGGGGAGGGTTAGGGGGACCTAACTCCCCCTTCCGTTTCTCGAAAAATAACACTATTAATCCAAATTAGAGTTTTAACTTGCTTATTTATAGTTCTTATCCGTTTCAAATTGAACCGTTTGACCTTCAAAACACCAAAATACTTTGAGGCACTTTAGCGGACCCAAACTAAACCCCAGCACAAAACGAAGTCACGGAACATTCTGTCTTCTTCTAAAACAAGGCCTCGTGTACCTCGTGAACTTCAACGCTGAGCATAAGACCATCTTCGGGGACTGCGCGAGATGAAATAATACGGGCTATCGATTGTAAACAAACTGGCCCTCTGTGTGATAAGGTAGAAAGTTTTCATTTAATTTCAAATCTACCAATGAAGCTACTGCAGCTCCGTGCTGCCTTAACACAGCTAGCTTACCGCGGTACATGTATAGCCCTGCACGCGGGTTTTTATGCAGTATTTTTTCTAGGTTCTTTTTTTCTGAAAATTGCATTAAAAAGAAAAACGTAAATTAGGTGGGCGGGTGGGTCAGGCACCATGCTGTCGTTGGCGTTCACGGGTGTAGGAAAAAACAGTCCGTTACAGCAACGACCTAGCCCTGTAATCGAGCAGTCAGGGGGAAAAGCCGATGGATTAGAAGAAGTGATCGATTAGACAACAAACTATTACTGGTCATTATCTTAAAGTATTTCTTTCTCTTCAAATTTTAGAATATTGAAGTTTACTCTTTAGATTGATTAAAATCCTTTTAACGGTGCCTGATGACATCGACATTATAGTTTCACAAGTTTATTCCTTTCTCTTCAGTTTTAAAGTCTTTAAAATGATGATCAGGCGGGGATGGTCATAGTTCTCTATCCTTTACCAGCTAAGCCACAGATCGGGGGGGGGGGGGGGGGCTCTTGAAATTATAGCAAAAAAGGAATCTATTTAGGAACGCTCCGTTTTCGGCTTTTTAAATAAGTGCTCGTGTACATGATGAACTTTTACAAAGATGATCAAAATACTATGTTCGCAGACTGGCAATGCACGGGATGAATGTTCGGCTCACGGCCAATTGATTATAAAAGCAGATATACATGTATACATGTACAGCCAATCTGGCCCTCTCTGTGAGAAAGTAGAAAGTTTCCATTTGATCCGCAACCTTCCAACGAAGCTTTGTGACTCCGTGATAACTCCGCCGTCTTGGATACAAATAGACACTTACAAGCGGGATCGAAGCCTAAGATTTTAAACGTAATTTTTTTTAAGCTCGAAATGATTTCTAAAAAAAAACATGCTTTTGATTACTAAAAGACGAAACTCGTACGTATGGTGTTTGGCGGGTTTGATTGCAAAAAAAAAAAAGAAAAAAAAAAAAGCAAACCATGGTAACAGCAAGTGACGAGTTCAAATCCCAGATGACGCATGTCAGTTCACCACAATGTTCAACGAGCTGGCCCCGCAATCGAATACGAATGCTGGTTCGCGTGGTCTGAGACACCCTGAGCTTAAGAAATAACTTGACACTAACCTCTTCACTATAGCCTTCATCTTCATCGTGTCAAGTTACCTCTGACCGCATTCGATTGCCCCCGCCGCCCGCTAATCAAATTTAAAGCCCGCACTCAATGACTCATTGAACGATCTAACTAATGAACGCGAACGCGCTTTGTTCAAATCCGGACCAATTAAAGATAAGGCTGAATATCAGGGACTTGCCGTAACCTATGGGCAGCACGCAAAATAAATCATCCCTCAGTAGATAATGATGCAGGGCCTCAAACTGCTCTGGTTTCAATTCCGATATACTCATATTTTGCAAAGAATCAAAAGATAACTTAACACATTATTTTACGTAGTCACTCGTAGGAGACGCCATGCTTTCTTTGTGTACGGTTATGCACTCGATACTACTCGGATGTCTCCGCACTCGACGTTAGTATGGAGTTTGCGGAATCAGCCGAGGATTGCCGATTGACGGTCAACCAATCAGCGTTTTCACCAAACTTTGGTGAAAAATTTTGAAACTTGGATTCGATTGGCTTATATCAACTAGGTCAAACTATTTTCGTCAGATGTAACTTGACACGATGAAGATAGACTATGTACAGTGAAGCGTAGTGTAAACCAGATTTGAAGAGTGACAAGTCCCCGAGTGTCCAGACCCCGAGCCGTAACCAATCAGCGTTTTCACCTAACTTTGGTGAAAAATTTTGAAACATGGATTCGATTGGCTTATATAAAATAGGTCAAACTATTTTCGTCAGAGGTTACTTGACACGATGGAGATAGGCTACAGTGAAAAGGTTAGTGTCAAGTTAGCTCTGAAGCTCAGGGTGACCAATAAATGTATAATGTTGACGTTTTTAAATGAGTTATTGAGATCCCTAAAAGTAGCATTGTTGAGACAGGCAGTTTTTTTCTTTAGGGGCAAAATTAAAAGGCTGAAAAATGAAGAGAGCAGAATTTCATATCTTTTCAGTCATAGGACATCTTCCTTGTAGGAAGATATTCAGATGTTTTTTAGGTTGGTCATTGCAGATGTCATGAGGAGGCACTACTTCATGGTATTGACTCATTGAAAAATCTTTTAGTCAGTCTCATCATGTTATGCTTTTGTGGAGGGAGCCCTTTGTTTATAAAACAAAACTTAGTAGACTAAGATCCAGAGGACCTTTGCTGATACCGCTTGTCAGCTTCAATTCTTTTGTGTTGATCAATAGTAAAACTTTGTACTAGGTTGGACTTCTAGTTATTATCTACATCTTGCACTAAGGGAGTTCCATTAGATGCAATATATCAAATGGAATCCTTTGGGGAGAATTGCTAAAATATGAGAATTATTGGTTAATGGCTGTGTCATTTGGTTAGTTAGTATAGACTAATGGATGTACATTTTCTGTAATTTGAATGCAGCACTTTGTGTATCAAACATTCATATGTTTATATCTGATTGAGGAATTTGTGTAAAAAAAGCATCATATTCCATGACTTGAATTACCTTGATGTTGTGAATAAGGTGTATTTATGGTACGAAAAGATTGTCAGTCTGAATGCTATTTTTGATAGTTTGGAAGTAGATGTGTTGACAATTTGTTAAATTCATGAAATTCACATTTTTCAATTGTTTGGATCCATTCAGAATGACATTACTTGGTAATAATTAAAATTTCTGGTGATCGGTTTTGCTAATTGGAATAATTATTTTGATGATGAGCAGTTTGGATCCATCACCCATGTATGATGGAACCCAGAATGCAGTAAGTGGCATGGCACTAAAGAGGACACATGTGGGATCATTTTAGGATGAAATAATCACCTGAAATGAAATTACATGTTCTAAATTTAGATAATGTATTGATTTGGTCATATCCAATTACTTGAAACTTTTTCATTCTATCTCAGACGACAGAAAAGGCCAAATATGACCAGATATTTGATGGACTCCAGCCTATTGATGGGAAGCTCTCTGGGGATAAAGTCAGACCAGTAAGAGAAATCAGTTTAAGAATCAGGCACATGTTTTGTTAGTTGATTAGAGTCAGTTTGTGGAAATGCTAACAAGCTAATTTGAATAAGTTTAATGCAATACTGTTGTTATGATGGAAAGGTTAAAACTTTCACTTTTATTTAAATGTCAATGTACCGTTTTATATTGTATTGTATGAACTACAGTTCCACATAAAGATTATTAACAAAAAAGTCTGTATGGTTGAATATTTATAATGTGGCAACTTTTTGGGCTTTTCCATGTAATTGTGCCCTTATCATATAATACAGTGGCACAGTAATATATATATATGACCCCATTTTTTCAAAGTTTTCTGTCTTTTCAAGTTAAATACCTTGAAGAAACTCATGGTTTATGAAGACATACTATGTTAAACAAGAAAAATTTCATGTATGACCAGGCCAAAGCACTTTACATAGAATGAATTTTATTGCATATTGCATATAATGATGTAGAATACTGCTAATGGAAATTGATACCTCTGCTTTCAGATGCTGTTAAATTCAAAACTGCCTGTAGATGTGTTGGGGAGGGTGTGGGACCTCAGTGATATTGACAAAGATGGACAGTTAGACAGAGAAGAATTTGCTATTGTGAGAAATGTTCAACTCATCTTTAGCTGTACCAATTATATTGATGATTTCTCTTATATATGATATTTTAAATATAGAGCATATTATTGTTGTTGCATTCCACTCTTTGAAATAGCTTTTCATGTAATTTTTATCTAAATATTTACAACCAATGAGGCCAGAGGAGACAAAGGTCATGATTTTCTCTTGATATATTAGACAAATATAATATAAGTGGCTTGTATAAATTTTTGATGTCAGTAATATGCATCCAAACCTCACCATGTGTTACCATGAAGCCCACACATCTGTTCTCTATAATCCACAATTCTCTGAACTGCTGTCATATACCTTCCATTAATCAGGCAATGCATTTAGTGTACCGAGCTCTAGAAAACGATCCAGTCCCACCAGCTCTTCCCACAAATCTAGTCCCTCCCTCCAAGCGGCGTAGCCGTGCCAACAGTGGTGTCAATCTTCCTGGTGCTGTCCCCGTGTTACCCGGCATGTCTGGGGGCGGGGCTCCAACACTGCTCCCAGGGAGGTCCAGTCCAGCCATGGGAAGCACTGCTGCTTCTACAGACTTACATTCAGGGGTAAGGTGTAATGTCTCCTCAGACGAGGTTTCTTTGGGATTTGAAGATCTTGTTTTCTTTTACAAAGTTGTGTTATTTTAAGGGTCTGAAAGGGTTAGAGGTTATTGTTTTTATAAAAGCTGAAATGACAGCTACAATTTTAAGAAATTTCAATCTTTCATCAGTTTTAAAAGTCTGGATAGTCATGTCAAATTAGGATTGAAAGTTCCATGCGAGTTTATATTCAATTATAAGCTAGAGTTCATTATTCTCAAGCATTTTTTCATTTTCATTTATTGAATATTTTAATTTCTCTTCAAACATCCACTTTCAGATGACAAGTCCTGGCCCTCAGCTTCCCTGGGTCGTACCCCAAGCAGAGAGAGCTAAATTTGAAGCACTGTTCAAGACAGCTGATAAGGATATGGATGGTTTTGTCCTGGGAGGGGAGGTGCGGGATATTTTCATCCAGAGTGGGCTGTCACAGCAGGTCTTAGCACACATATGGTAAGAAAACACATTGTGTTAGTTGAGATGACAGTGAAATTGCATTGATTTCTTTTTTTTTTCTCAGTGTGTTAGTTCAGATGAATGACAGTCGTGCTGATTGTGATTTTTTTTTCCTGCTGGTGCTTAACATTCCAGGTTCCTGAGTGATTTTACTTCTGGTTGAAAAGTATTCATTTATGTTTAATTTCCTGAGTTGTAACCAGTTTCATATATATTTCATTTGTGAGTGTGTTAGTTGAAGTGAATGTCTTAATTGTGCTGTGTGGTGTATTTCTGCTGGTACTTAATTTTTCAGGCTTCAAAGTGGTTGACAAATTGACAAGCTGGTTGACAAGTAATCTTATATTTGAGTCATAATTTCATACATTTATGCAATAAAGTGTAGAAATTAATCGGGGCTTCAGTTTATGATTATTATACCACCAGCGTTAGCGCTGGCGGTACACATGGTTTTAGTCCCGTCCGGTCCGTTCCGCCGGCTCCGCCGCCATGTTACCGTTACCGCTTCTCCTCCTAGACGGTAAGGGCCCCCATACCCATCTCTTGGATTTAGGTCACCTATAATCTCAACTAGTTCCACGTAAAATTTGGGCTTTGTCGGTATTGGGGTCTAGGTGTGGCATTCATTGCAATGCACCCTTGTCCAAAAATGGCAAAATTAAATGCTAATTATCTACCCTACGGAAGGAATTGTGGGAAAAATTTCTACAGACGGCTTTCCAAAAGTCATATGTGTAGATTTCAAATATGCCCTTTGATTTGATCTTTGACCTTTATTTCAAGGTCAAATGGGCCAAATTTTTCAAAAAAATGAATTTTTTTACAAAAAAAAAATTATTTGCGCTGTTATTCAGACACCACACAGACTTAACTAATAATATTATTGGAAAATGATACCCTTCAGGTCATCTTTCATCTCCATGAATTTGGGGTCAATCGGTGCATTTTAACGGAAGTAGCGGCCATAAGATACCGAAACTGAAAACTGTCTCTAATTCGGGAACCGTTAATGCTAGAGACCCATTCTTTTTTGCATTTTGTAGAGCATGTAAAGCCCAACACTGGAGGTGGTCTCCGTTTTTTTGTATTCCAT